TATCAATTATTGGCATCGAACAAGCTAGTGAGCTGAGTACTAATCAATTTACAATACGATAGTACATATGGGCATAAATCAACAGACTGATAAAAACTGAGTCAACATGTGTAAAGGCCAATCGATACAGTGGATAGGGGACTTAATTTCAGGATATTTTTCTTAAGTCGGTCATACCAATGTAGAATTATGGTCTATATTCGTTATCAGTACATTTGTCCCTGCTACAATAATAGTAAAACCGATTCCGAAATTGTAGGTATGTTGTGGTGAGAAAACCTAATCTATAGGACCTTACGTGGAAGTTACATCATTGTCTACACTGACTCGTCCTATTGCGAGAATCAGCAACATAACATCCAACGCCTCTGAAGAACACATGTGGACTGAGTAGAGTGTAATATATTCACTACGAAATGCGATAGTTTTTAGGCAGATTGACTACGCTTACGTGACAGAGCCACGCTGCTTGGGATCATTGTTCCCGTGTTCACTTTTATCGACCTCCTCTAAGTGTTACATATCGGATGTCAAGCCTCTCAGTAGTTATATGTTCAGCTCCAAAGATCGTGTGGTTAGGAAGCAATACAATTACAAACCACTCTACTTAGCCACGTTGAGGAGTTTCTCGGACACTTTTGTGTAGTCCAAGGGATGTGCGGTGCAGTGACTTTTACGTATGAATCTTCGAATACATCCCAATCCGTTTCGATGGAAAACTCCAGTTCTATTGTGTGATCTACTGAGGATGCTGAGTGTATATTACCTTTTATATTTGCTCTCCGACTAGTTGGTCTGGCTAGGGATGACACATCTTCGTTGTTGACGTCTAAAAGGAAATGAAAGGCTAGAACTGCATAAACTCTTTTCCTCATGTATGACATATACAGGAGGTTTGTGACGTCATCCTCAAAACGGGTCAATATGAGATCTAGTAAGGATGATGCAGAGTTCAGGCCTCATCTAGTCGCTTCTTTCACATGATCCACTAGGACACAAGTGATAACTGCATCAACTAGTTTCTGTTCGAAAGAATTTTGTGATAATCCAGTCCTCAGATTTTTCCAGCTCACCGTAGGTGCAATATAGGCTCCTAAAATTAAACATCGCCCACTGGATGACCAAGTGTTGCGACAGTCTAGCAAGACCTCATTCACCTCACAGCTTTCACTGCAGCAGACCAAATCAGTCAGCAGCTCTTGTCTCTTGCATTTCAAGGGGTAATTAATTAATTCGAACATCATACTTTCATGGGATGTTATCAATAGCGCCATATGGGATAGTATCTTTGATGAATCGAGTTACTGTTCCTTCTTTATGCTTCTGGGTTCTGTCGACTCTTCCTAATGTGAAACTATCAAAGTCAAGTCCCCTACTGTCTATAGTCTGTGTCAGTCTAGTTTTTGTGAATGCAATAGCATCCAGCTTCGTAGAGTTTATCAGTACATCTTGCTCCAACCACTTTTGAGCGGGCTTTAGGCACATATGCAACAAATCCGAAGACCGTCTAAATTGCTTCTTGACGCACCAAAAATGGCTTCATCACCATTCCTTGTCGAAGCCTCAACATACCCAAAAAGTTGTAACTCTAAGGTCCTTCTCGTCAGCATCCAACCTTAGTTTTGGCTCTTTTTCAGCTTCTCGTCTTTTTATGAGGTCCGCGAGCGGCAAGTCTTCACGAAAACAAACTACTGACCTTTCAGTTTATATCCATTCTGTAGTATTAAGCCCCTTACATTGGAAGATCTCAATGCTTATTTCAGCAGCTGCTGACTTGATTCTGTATAAAGTCCATTTGACTACCTACTATATAAAAACATAGAGAGATGACTTCGGAGATATCCTGGAGCATTAGCATTACCAACTTAATGTCATCCTCAAAACGAGTTCTGTGTTCTGAGCTTTCACTCTGCTTGACTCGATGAAAGACAGCTGATCTGTCACTCCGGTCAGTCATTAATTCTTCAGCCACTGTTTGGGTAATGGCTTTGCTTCAGTAACAATACGTCTTTTCTTATTCTTGATCTGTACCCATTCATCAACTTTCATTCCAGTAGCAATCACAGTCGCATTGCACACATTGCTTTTATTCCTAACAGGCCATTTCATAAGCCGTCTCTTCTCCTTTGGTCTGTGTAGGTCAATTGACTCTGAGCTTGTTTGACTTAACGTCAGAATAATTTGTACATCGACAGAGCGAATACCGTTTGATGTATCTCAATTACGCTTGCTAATACTGTTTTAGCAGCGTTCTCCATTGCAATAACTTTGAATAGCAAGATGTTTGCTTCCGAGCAACATTGCTGACGCAACCACATGCGACCATTTTACTAGACTGTTTGAGACCCACAGACTTTAGATTTGTGTGAACTTTATAGTACCATCCATACTGTCATGACATACTTAGTGTGAGTATATTCAACAAAGAATTATTAATCACTGAAGTTCTCTTATCTCATTTACTTTTCTCAGGCAGGTCTCATAACTATCCCAACTGGTAAATCGTCGCTATAACACAATATCATTGAGGATTTATCCTACATCATGCATCAGAAAGGACAGTGGTAGTGTTTCACGTTGAGCTTAATTCACTGTTTTGATCGTAAATTACGTATCAAAACTACCGTTTACACTTTAATTGAATTTATTTCAATTAACGTGATATTGTATTTGTGTGTTTTGATCCTGCTTTTGTGTATTTACTGCATCAAAGCATTCTTGGTCGACTGCGGCTTGTTTATTTGATAAGGTTGTGATTTATTTACATATCTACCTTGCCTTCCATTTTGCTCTGTACACAAGTGTGGACAGCCATATTGCTTATTCCCCGTGGAAGAAGGGATGCTATGTGACGAATGTAAGAAGTGGCTTCATAAAATGTGCACCCGCTTAAGCTCTGCTGCCTATAAAAGGTGCTCGAAACCAAATTCTCATTGGCTGTGTATGTTTTGTTGCTCAAGCAAGACATTACTCATTCAGGAAGCCATAAGCCTTCTAGCGTTAGCTAAAAATGTCGACGTAGGCCGTGCCGGCAACATGGATACTGATAATGAAGATTGTATCAGTGTCGTAAATGCTGCCATGGCAGGTACCAGACACCCAATTTCGCAACATGAAGCAAAAATTGTACTCCGGTACAACTAATGAAAGCCATGCCATTAAGTATTGAGGGACCAGTCGCTTTAGCAGCGACTGAGGACCCGGCTAGAACCACTATCGTCCAGAATAGTTCCAATCTGGATGCTGAGAATAGTGGCAAATGGATTACGCGGAAACGTAAAAGAGACGGAAAAATACCCAAAGAAAGCGCGCGTATAGTCGATAAGTCATCGTTGGACTCACGTCCTGAGCATCAGGCAACTCCGCTCAAGTCCAAATGTAAGAAAATATTTAATACTGTTGTGGATGGAAATAGTCTAACTTCTCCAAATGTTGTTGGGAGTAATTCGCTCGACCCACATGACACTGTTATAAAGAAAGCTAACAGTAAGAGGCCGGTAACTAACCTGCAGGATCTGAAATCACGGTCGAAGGCCATGAACACGACTTTTAAGGAAGTTAAACAGGTGCCTAGTGTAATCATCTGGAACTTGGCAGAATCGAAAGACACCGATCCCTCTAAGAGACATGGCCACGACCTGCAGTTAGTGAGATCTCTCTTGACTAACTTACTCATTGCGAGAGAGGATTGGACAGCTACCCTAGACAACGGCCTGTCTGTCGACGTGATATTCATAGATTTTAGCAAAGCGTTTGATAAGGTTTCACACTTAGGTTTTATGCAAAAGCTCTCGAGCTTTGGTATAACAGGTGCTATACAGGAATGGATGGGAAGCTTCTTATGTGACCGCAGATAGAGAGCGAGGGTCAATGGAACTCTATCCGAATGGAAACCGGTCAAAAGTGGTGTACCCCAAGGCACCATCTTGGGCCCTTTACTTTTCCTTCTGTATATTAATGAACTACCTTTATTACTTAAGTCGTCGATGTTATTGTTTGCGGATGATGTTAAAATCTGGAGAACAATAAGAAATGAGACTGATCGTTGTTATCTGCAAGCAGATTTAGACGAATTAGTTAGGTGGGCTAATGATTGGGGCCTGGAAGTTAATTCCAGGAAGAGCGTGTTCATGCACATCGGGCACGATATTAGTTACCATTATACCATTAATGGTACATCTCTGCCACGCGTTCAAGAGCACAAAGACTTAGGAGTAATTATAAGTCACGACTTAAAAACTACTACGCACTGCAATGCGGTTGCTTCCAAAGGCTATCGCGCGCTATGGTCGCTTCGCAGAGCATTTAAATGCTTTGACGAGGATATGTTTCGAATTTTATATCCCACCTATGTAAGGCCACACTTCGAATACTGTATCCAAGCAGCTAGCCCTTGTCTGATAAAGGATACTAGATCGCTTGAGCGTGTCCAGCATGTGGGGACCAAATTAGTGAAGGGTCTTTCTAAACTCCCTTACAATGAGCGTTTGAAATGTCTAAACCTTTTCCCCTTATCTTATCGTAGGACACGAGGTGACCTTATACTGGCATTTCGTATCTTTAATTATGATCTGGGTGTTAATATGTCTTATCTTTTTGCTCGCTCCAGCACTAATAATCTCCGAGGTCATAGCAAGAAGGTTCACAAACCGCGATCTAATACACTGTAAGACCACAACTAATGGTGGGGTCCCGTTTTTCTCATGTAGTGGTCAATGACTGGAACGCATTACCAGAACAAGTGGTATCAGTACCATCAATGAACATTTTCAAAAAGAAGCTGGACCTTCACTGGAAGGAAATCTGTCAGGATTAACATAGGTTCATCAACCTACTATCCTTATTACTGAAGACTGAAGTACAGTACTATCACTTTGAACACTATCAGACATAATGTGGCTGAACCCAGATTTAAGGTTGTCTTAGTTTTACCGCTTTTGGAAAACCTTCCTAATTGCCGAGGTGACGCATCAATAGTTTTACGACGGTTTGACCTTCAAGTGTTCAGTAACCTTGATCGATGGGCGATGTAGTTATGATTGTTCCTTCATATAACTTCGTCAAATCAATCCACAAGTTACTATCGGAAGCAAATAACATCTCTTATCTTAAACTTCTCACAGGTTGTATCAACTTACTTTACTTATTTTTAAGATTCTCTGCTGGTTCTTGATGTTACTCAAGAGTTCTCGTTAACTTTTGCGGATATTCATAATTTGAAAGTCATCTTTCTGGATACCTTTGTTGAATGGACCTACCAATTTGCATCTTCACTCTCTCCTGTCCTCAATGAAAACACTGGAGAAATTCGCATAGTTAGAATCGTTAACAATATAGTATTGGAGACGTTTGCTGTCATCGATGCTATTACAAATGAATTGAAATCGGGATGTCCCGAAGTACCTAAACCCCTGATAAATTTCTCAAATCATCTGAAGTTTGTAATGGTATGTCTCTACATTGTCTCCCGAGTTATCTAGTTGCCACTATTTTTTGTTGTGTATTAAGGGTAAAACTACACTACATTAGCAGCCTTGCTTGGCCATTCAAAACAAAGCCGATCGACGTGCGAATTTTAGAGGTTCTCATGCAAAGCTTTTTGCTGAAACTCACGGCTTTCATTATGTTTCATATTTCGGTAGGATTGCAGTTCACCACCCATGGGTGGTGGCTTGCTTGTGGAATGAACTTTTATAGTCAGTATATTAGGGTTTGGGTTTTTAAGACTAGATGTATCGAAGTTAAGAGTCAGGGCGAGATTACACCACACTGACGACATACAGCGAATCTATCAGTGGCATTTAGTCTAGCCTATCGAGAATAATTAATGTTTTCGTATGAGAGCTCCAAAATATGTCAAAACAAAAGGATCGCGGAGGTTTAGGTGGACGTATTAGTGGCAAATATCGATTTTTCAGGTTAGATATAGTTTTTTTAATAATGACAGACCCTAGTTCTCGGCTTTACATCTATTAAATTCTAAAAGCACTGGAACTAGTCTTACCGGTGAAATTATACTTAAGCGGTCAAACAAAATTAAGCCAGCCGGTGCTCAACTTTGGAACTCTTGCCGATAGTCTGCTACTAAACTCATGGTTTTCGACATATTTCTTCTTTCGAAAAGACTGGGTGATGGTCTTCTCATTGAATAAATTTTTAAGGTCAGCATATTTAGGCTGTCGATGTTAAGATAATGAATACTAGGGTTAGACGTTTAGTTTATGAGCTTAAGTCCAGTATTTTTAGGGTTAGAAGTTTCGCTATATACAGAGCTAATAATTAGGGTGCTTTAATCACTGGACCATGATATCCAGTCTGTATGATCGTTATTGAGCACCGGTAAGTCCACTAGTGATTTTAAGACATCTAGTTCTTATGTGCATATGTATCTGGTGCCCTTCTGTACCAATATATATGTGTTCAAATAAAAAATAATAAAAAAGTTCTTATTCCTATCGCCTTACTATATTTTGAGCGCTTACAAATAATGTGCCGATTGACTGATCTCAAGGCCACACTTTGCATTCGGTTGTCTTTCTTTTAGTTTAGTCTTACTGTGTTAGGAGTTAGAGCTAGGGAGTTTTAGTGTTGATTTAGGTTTTAGAAGACTTATGGCTAAGATATAGTGCCTTTTCTGATCACATAACTATGGCCTAAAACCTAATAATATTTAGCACTAATGAGTTCACTAATGTCTTTAGGCATCCTAATCCTTTGTAATTTCACTATTCTATATTTTCGGGCTCTTATACGTAAGTTGCATTTTACCCATTGGTCACCCTTAAATTCACTTAAGGTTATCGGTATAGTATAATTTTACCGGGTTAATTTTTAGGATAGTCTACTGACGATAGCATAATCTAAGGGAAACTATCAATATCCTGTCAAAACGTCACATTTCTATTGCACTGAACCATTATCTGTGCTTTTCAAACTGAAATCCTCACTTTATACTATTCGTTGTATCCAGACATACTTTTTACTCCTTGATCTATTCACTCTAAAATGGACTGATAACTATTGCTTAACAGTTGTTGAAGGTTAATGACATGGTGATTCTCAATTTAATTGCTGAATGATAGTATACTGCGTAGTATTCTCAACTATTAAGCCGAATATTGACTATTAAGAGGAATTTCAATTGAAAGTGCGTATAAATTCTTGTTTTTTATTTACAGGACAGTGACTCAGAATAAAAACACAATAATCTAATGTCATTGCTAGTTATCGTGTTTCGGAATGATGTGCCACAAGATGCATTATACGTGATTTGTTGTTCAAGTTATCATCCGTGTCGTTAGTTTGATATTTTCTGTAACTAACTTCATATATATACTCAGTATGGTATGAACAATAAGAGGATTTTCGAAGTATATGGTTTATATTCTGTCTATGTAGAATATTTGAATTTTCATCGGCAGATGTTTAATCATAAGCCGCTAACTGGTGTTCTTTTATTACAACTCATTCAACATGTATGAGGTATCTCAAACTCTAAGTTTTTGCTGAGCTCCCACTTCAAATGTCTAGGTTATGAAATCACATAAATATTGATGAAAGCAGGCTTCTGAAGATACAAGTCATAATTTTCCAAGTATAAAATAAATAGTACATTTTGTCATTGAGTTTTCGTTTAGTATTCCATGTAATTTTGAGGCCCCATAGCTTTATTTAAGGTAATGTAGGTCAATGGTTTTCTACTTTGTCCTCTGCATTTAAGTCACCCTCATCCTTTTAGAAGTTGAATACCGCTAAACACCATCCAATCAAATACAAATGTAATTAACTCTAAATGGGTAGAACTTCACCACTTAAATAAACAAGTTTGCCACTGTCATTGATGCTGAGTATTTCTTGATATCAATAACAGGTAGTGGTCACGGAACATTTATTACCATATATTTCCCACCATTTAGGCTTTGCTACGACAGTATTCCAAGAGAGAATAAATCAATGCGGGATAATTCTGCAACGTATTTTTATGCACGGGTTGTTCAATTATTCAGATAGTATGTACAGAAAATTTTAAACTTGCTATGGTTGGGTGCTTAAATCCAGAAATTATAAGTGTACAATAAATGGAAGAAAACAGTTTTACCTATAGCTATTTGACACTTTCCAGTACATATTTGTTATCTGGTCATAATTAGTTGGAGGATATCAATATTAAAATGTAGTCTTTGCCGAAAAACCATGTAGATAAAAACGTCCCTGTATGGATTCCGTCTCAAAGTTGTTATTCAGCAAATAGGATGGTTGATCATTTATCTTAACGCTGCAGTGTAGAACTAAGATGTAACATTCTGTTTGCTTTCCAGGACCTCATTCTATAAATATTTGTTGCCTAGCTAACCATTGTTAACAAGTCGTAGTGTTCAAACATACGTCAATGTTCATTACATCTTTTTTATATTACAGAAAACTTCATCTAAACGTATGTTTGGCTGGATTGATTATTGTTGTAAATTAAGGAATTACTGTAGCATGATGTTACATTGTACCAACTTCACAAATACATCTTTGGCAAGTTTTACTTTTTGTTGTATAAATTTAAATTTAGTCTTCTGAAGAGGATTTCGAAAAAGTGTTTGAGCCGTATTCGAAAATCCCATGCACCACGTAAATTACCTTTTTTTCTTATAGATTATAATAAAAGCTTAAGTATTTCAGCATTAAAAACATTAACTGAACATGAAGTAATGAAAGACAGTGTTAATATTGAGAACTCATTAATCTCATTGCATATTCAAGTGGATTCAAACTTGTTCAATGACATTTACAGACTGGCTTATGATAAAAGTGGTATTATACAGATCATTCAACAGGTGCAAACAGATTACCAGGTTAGGTTTACAACGAATATCTAATTTTTTTTAGTTAGAATTTAACAATCCTCTTAACTTGTTAATGACTAGTATGAGCGTAGGAAATCTATTCTGTGCTAAACTTGAAAATGACTCACAGCATGTCTGTTTATTAGTTGTTTTCGTTTATTCTACAATCTTATCAGTATACACTCCAACCCTATTTCATGGTTGCATCCATCTAATTACTTGTTGGATTCTTTGGTTTTTCATTTTACCAAACTAAGTTCCGACTATCTTTGCCATTTATTTATGGTTATGGTATTTAGAGTGGAGAGATATATTAACGGCTAAAGTATCTGGCATTTCAGCTAATGAAATGCTGGTAATGAGCAGAGGAATTCCTAAAATTTCTGTCATTAGAAGTTCAATTTTGAAGATTCAGCTTGTTAATTATTTTAAAATTAAAAAGGATTATAAAAAACACCAGGAATTACTGATTCCGAGCTGTTAGTTGATACTAAGTACACATATATCATCTATAGCTTGGTGTTAATTTGCGATATTGTTCAAATATTAATATATGTTTGACAAACTTATTCTAGCTCGTCAGTTTTTATATTTAGTAGGAACTGTGCATTCTCATATATTCTATACACCTCTATTTCGGATTGTTTCTAATTTAGCCAAGCGGTTACTTCAGCCTCTAAAGGTACTGTGAACATATTTACTAGTATTCATAATTGAACACGATCAGCTAAAACACTAGGATGGTAACTATACTGCAACTGTTTTTATATCATTTTCCCAATAGTTATAACTGTTTTCTAACAAAGAAAATAACTACTTGTTTGAAATCATTTTTTAATTACTTATAGGATCTAAATAAAGCAGATAATAAAAACTTATCCAGTCTTGTCAACATTCAACAACATTTACTTAAATTGTCATCAGTTTTTATTACTTTGGATACTTTGAGGCGATTCAGTGACGAAATACCACTTGAGCAACTACAAACACCAGGTATATATACCGGGAAACCTCCATGTGTTTAAAACTTTTTGTTATATTCAACAAAGTTAATACATTTTATTGATAAGTGTCCCGGAGACTATGTACACATTCGTTGACTAACCGATTGGGAAATAAAATGTTCTTGCGATATATATGTCTATAATAGTAGTAATACTTTTTTCTAGACAATTAATCCATTACCGTAAAAAGTATTTTTCAATCAATTTCAAGTAAAATAGATTATTAACCTTCCATAGATTTGTTGCACACCTCGACCCTCCTGATTCTCATTGCTAACAATCGTAACTACCTAAAACATATAATAGTGTATTTATTACTGAGATCTGACAAATGTTTTATATTTAGTGAAAGAACTAGAAATTTCAATAGTAGATGTTTATCAGATATATAGACTTCCTTCATTCAGCTTTACTCACTAACCCTGATTACTTGATTCTGGAATATATATTTGAGTCATTTTGTGACAATCTTGTAGGAATTTTTTTCTTACTTTATTATCTGTTATAAATTAGAAAAACTGTGTCCAGCGCTATCTAATGTTCAATAATTCTCGGTTCGTTGCCGATTCTCTGCGAAAATCATCCATTATTTGATGTGTAACGAAAGGCGATTCGAAATTCCCCACTTTCCCGGTGTAATATTTATCAATGTTTATTTGAAAATCATACAGACTTGGAAACATGATGTATGCATAAATAATTGTCTTAAGTGTTGTTGCACATATACCTTACTAACAAGTTATAGAATACAAAAATTATAGCTTTAGGGCTTTTTGACAATTAAATTTAAATGCTAATAACTGCTTACACTTACTATTTCTACTATTCCGGAATTTATCTTGACAATTTCATCTCGTTGTGTTAATGTGGTATGGTAACTTGAACCTATTTGCAAATGTGCCGAGTTCTATGTTGCATATGACTTTCTCTGCTTGTTGCATATATGTGAAAATAATGTTGACCCCAATTAAGGAGTTCTTCTGTACAATAAAACCTTATTCATCTTCACCATTACCAGCATTTATTTAATCTGAGGGCTCTAACCTCACTCGGTTTCTTGTAACAATGATTGATTCGTTGCTAATAAGAACTTTGTGCAGTCGATATCGAAATGAGAAAAATATCTATCACTCTTGGTTAACTACACCAATTGTTTGAAGGGACCACATCCAAGTTTTTTTGGAGCTAATACCATTCGTTTCAGTAAACACCAACGCCTAAAAACTACAACACTGTCATGATATTACGAATAACAATATCTAACGGTAAAATAGAATTCTCAAGCGTTTTTAAGCTACAAACTTATCATTCCTCAGCATTTGAAATCTCCTAATATAAGATACTGAGGAAATTAAACATGTTGTTAAGTAGCGTATCCTCTATGTTTTACGTGCTAAACCTGTTAACTTCGTCGTTTAGAAATGAGAGCTAGCTGAAAACATTGATAGATACCGCTTCAAATTATGCATAATAATCAAGTTTCATGTAAACATATCTTTATTTCAATATCATAGCAAGTAAGGGGAATAAACGTGTGGATTGTACTAGCATTTTTTCGGGTGTCGAAATGCCACTTAAATAAGCAAATGTATAATTAACCTATCGTATTATCCGTTCAATGCTACTGTTTTGTTTTTCACTATTCTAGTAGTTTTAACCGATAGTAAGAAATTGAAACATACACCCATAATTAGTGGTAATGAAAACACCAATATGAATTGTGAACGAAAAGGAAGAAAATTAGTTGACAAATGTTGCTTTGAACGATTTTGTGGACCATCACCCTCAACATCAATATGTACACCTGTCCCTAAAGGTATATGTTTTATTTTTAAAGTATCTATAAAAACTTTGTTTTATCACTAATGAGTAATACATCTAACTACTCGGTCGTTAAAAAAATCATCATCCGTAAATCCAGATAGTCATACAACTGTTACATCAAGTAAAAATGTCTATTTATAGAGCGCCCCCAAATGCCCTGGTACGGCCGAGAGTGGGAAGAGTCCGCTCTCCCTCTCGAAATGCTCTCATATGGCCAGCGAATATATTGACTCTGACAGGGAAGTCCTACTCACTGCCTTCTCGTGGTGGGGGTGTTGTTTACGAAATTGAGAGGACGAAAAGCGAATGTCTGGCGCTTTAACCGGGTTGGTGGATGTGAAGGATCCACCTAGGGGAGTTGAAAAACCCTGATTCCAAACCAATGGTGCACATGGGTTCCAGTATCCTGATGGAACAAATGGCGTACTAATCAATCGTTGATCACCGGCTACCATGGGACTGCATCTCCTTACGATGCTCCACTGCCTTGTGGATCAGATCTTTCGGTCAAAGGTTCCGGGTGTGGTCCCCTAAGAAAACCACCTGCTTCAGTTTGGGCACCTGTGCAGTATCACAGCCCTCACACAAATCGAATGAGATTTGTATGGCGCATATGTATTTGGTGCTTCCTTGTACCAATATTTATGTGTTTGAATAAAAAAGAAAATAAAAAAAATTTATAGAGCACTGTTACAAATAAAGTAGCTAAGTTCGACCGAATAATACTCGAAAGGCATGAGGTTGATTTCGTTAACTCATTTAAATTAAACTCTTATAAATTACTAATCAGAAGTGCACACAAATGATCTGTGTTCATGGATTTTTGAAACATATCAGTCAAAATTAATAGTCTCATTAACTTAATTACATCTATATCATTAATACTCGTTTTTGATATGCCAGTATGACTTAACATTCAACCTAATTTTAACTGACCATAATTTATTTTGGTTGAATGAATTATCCAATTTGTTCACATCTTTTTCCAGGTAAGGAGAAAGTTCGGAAGTATATAATCCGTCTTCCGAAAGAGGAATGGAAATCACACAAAACACCTTGGACAATTGAAGAATCTATAGCATTATGGCATGGAGTAATGCATGCTCCTGGTTCGAAAAGTTGGTCTCAAATCTGGCATCAATCCTTTCGACATAGTAATCGTAGTCAAGTAAATTTAAAAGATCGGTGGCGTGTCATAGATAATAGTGAAACTATTAAAAATGCAATTCGACAGGCATACGTTAGTTGGACATCACAGTTTACGAATGGAAAAGACAGTCCAGTCAGATATAATCATTTACCAATGCCAATTATTGTACGTACCTGTCAATCAACTTAACCTTTATATTTTCTGTATCTTAATCGATTAAATGTGCAATATATACAAATGTTTTGTTAAATTCGAATTTTCCGTCATCGTTAAAAATCCATATTTCCCAGTGAGGGGTATAAACAAAACTGTTATTACTGACGTTTCTCTACTTACTAGCATTAACCTTATCAAAGTAATAGTAAACCGGGATCTATAAAAACCTTAGCTTAGATTGGTAACTCGTCAAGGTAGTTTTGGACGAATTAATTTTTGCTGTCAAGTAAATAAACGTACAGATAACAGACAGGTATAGATTGTTTGATTTGATAAACGTGTGAACTGTTGAGATGAAATGTGTTAAAAAGATTTTCTTTTCACACATGTTGATAGTATTAGTTCGAGGGGGCAGGATAGGCCTCAACATACAGAACGGAAAGACCTAGATTCTAAAATACAACACAGTGAGCGCCAAACAAACCACACGCGGTGGAGCTTCGGAAGATGTGGGAAAATCTAATACCTAATATAGCATGTAAAATAATAGCCTCAATAATTATCGGACGCCTAACAAAGACTCATGAACTGCAAACACGAGGAAATCATACTGGATTCAGATCACATCGTTACCATTAAGGTCATATCCGTCCCAGTACGTCCATGATTCGAATTTCCTGTCTGCTGCATTCAGCACAGCATTACATTCAACCGTATTTATTGAATCTGGATTACCATCAGGGAGACACAGACCGAATTCTGTTAAAAACCGTCCGCCACCAGTGGATCGAACTATACTTCTCACATTTTTGAATGTATAATTTAAGAGAAGCTAAACACAAGCAATAACAATATCAACATTGATAAGTATATGAATGATTTCTGCAATGAAACTAGACTAAAATAATCTGCATACACTGTGTCAAAGCAATAACACATCATCCATTTTGTTCATTGACCTATCATTCATTACATTTATGACTTAGTTATGAAAAATTGCATAAAACCAACAGACGTTCAGTATTCTCCATCTTCAAATGATTATGATTATATTTATGTTCACAAGTACTTACATGATCGAGTGAGGAAAGGCACAAAAATTGAGTGATTTCGAATTCTGTGATTTGATTACAAAGTAACTGGCTAGGAAAGAAGATGATTCTACAAATCAAAAAATCAGTCATTTCTCAACAATCCATAAATAAAGATTCACACAACACCGAATCATCAGTTCAGTAAGATGGAAATGAACTAATACCAACAAGTTGTATCTTGTCAATCAATGGCCATTATGTCTAACTGACTAAATATCACATTAACCAGAAATCCTCCATAAGCTTATATGATTCACCATATAAGTTTATTGACAATGTTCTCGCGTTCATAATTGTTGAATCTGAACAACATATCTGTAACTGATTTGCGTTTGTGAGGAAAACTCATTCGAACATTGTAATTGTTAGTTGATGTGTCACAATATCAGCAAACTGTTATTCGATTATGTGTATCACAAATGATGGAATGCATCACATCATTGAGTCAGAATACACGTATTCATTGAATCACCTCAAACGACTTACATTAGTGTGAATAATATTTTTTATTGTTGTGTATGATGGAAATGAATAGTGCCTATTACTAGTTGTCACATTTTGCATATCAAACCATAGTGTTTACATTTTCGTTCTTAGATGCCTCTGCAGAACTTTCATTGAGTTCAGTTCCGGTGTCGCGTTCACCCAAATCAGTTCATCATTTAGTAAGGACACATTAGAAATTTATCCATATCAGTTGTAACTATAATCTGTATGTTTAATGAAAAATTCATGGTTTCGTCTAACATCATACATTCTGTATATGCAGACCACAAATTGGACCTCGAACTAAACAAATTAACTTGTTTGTCAATTTTGTTTGTAACAATCAATGTCTTACAAGTTGGTGTGAATAACAGAATGGAATTGGACATCTTTTGTATCTGTCGATGCAATAATCAGATTAGAATTTCACTTAACATCATAAACTGGAGATTTTGTCAACAAATAACATATGTACATTTGTATGTGAATTCCTATGGTGTTTGTGGATAGGTTTCAATAAGTAAATGAGTTTAATGAAACCTACAAGACAAATGTTTTTACTTTGAAATCAAGTTTGGTTATCAAGTTACGAACAAAAATTAAGTCAGTCAGCTTATGCTACAAAATATCAGTGGGTTATTGTTCTTATTAAAGCATCAAATATTCAAAATGCACATACACTACAAACAATAAACCAGGTAATGAAACTCTCACCTGATCACACAAATATTGTTTACATGATGGCATATGCTATGTAGACGGTGTCGATTCCAATGGTCAACAGTAGTAATGATAAGATAATACACTCTTCTTTCTGGCCATCTTATCTTGTAATAGACCAGGAACACGTTGCATGCCAGTACCAGGTATTCCATTGACAAATGGAAAATATATTCCATAAGTTACACTCTCGTAAAATATCAATGTATCCTTGTCTGTTTGACGAATAACATTCACCAAGTAATCATAAAACAATAAAAGATTGTGACCTGCAATGTCTGTCTGAATACAAAAAGAAATGTAAGAACCGAAATACATTTTCAGAATGAAGACAATTGAAAGTTAACAACAATGATTTCCAATACCGCAGTACATAAGTAAGCCAGTCAATGTTAAGCTGAAATAAACATATCTGTGATGGACAGAATGTTTTCGGAAATAAAGATTGTGGTTTGTGATGAAATTCACGACTCTCATACCATCCTATTAGGAAATCATAAGATGGTTGTAAGCAGCTGATAATAAACGACGAATTGTATTAAATTCATATTATTCGACCTCAATGGTTGTTGTGTAATTCGTACAAGGAACAAATTGAGTGTCATATTATGCTTTTGCAAATACTTAGGTTTATGCGTAAAATCTAAAATAAAAACATGAAATGTGTCTGAAAACTATGCTCTTATCAACATGAACTACGGAATGATCTATAAAGCTCAATTCAATGGGTGATGATTCAGATATGAATAGCGCAACCTTTGAAGATTAACAGAATGGTTCATCATTAAAATATAATGAACTATGTAAATGGTCCACATTGTTATTATTACAATCAATTGAATAGTTCATAGTTCTTCTACGTACTAGTTTAACTAGATTGAATACTGAGTCTTGTCTATTAGAGATACCATTGAAAATCATGTTAATCATCAATTCACAAAAGTATACAAACACGCACACACACACACCAAAACTACGATTACTTTTATCAAATTAACCTAACTGCAGTTCAAAGTTTCATTATTGAATATAATTCTAAGAAGATCTTTATATTATTTTCAGTACTGCGATTTGAATAATCTATCATACGGGGCATAATAAACAAACCATTAAGGCTGTGATATACAACACCATTTCTCTAATTTATCAAGTAATGATGGATGAATATTCCCTTTCTTACGATCTCATCTACGTTTTATAAACTCCATGAACCATGATTTTCCATATTTTCATGAAGCGAAAATCATGGATCATCATCAATGCGAAAGTACATCCCATCCCAAAAACCGAAATAGAGACAGACATGAGAAGAATGAACAAAAACTGGATAGAACTAGAAAAGAAGGCCCAGGACAGAGTGGGTTGGAGAAAGCTGGCCTATACTCGTTTGGGAGTAACAGACGAAAGTAAGTAAGTCAGTAACTGATTATAAGGCTGCTCTACTCTTCAATTTATTGATAACGTTGAATTTCGGATAAAAATGTGATGACTCTAAGTTTACTGTTTGCCTGTATTTGAATCATTATTTTACGTCTTAGTATTCATTGAATTACTTTCTTATTTTCTGAATTGTACTCGATTATTTATCAAGATTAATGACTCTTCACATTCCAAACTTATGCTAGAAATTTTGTTTTCAATCATCAATAACGAGTATCTGTCGATATTTTGTAAAAAGTCATTTGCTGACCATATGATACTGCTGAATGAACGATTTACTTGCCTAATCAGACGTTAAATGTGTACATATTAGACAAGACGGAAAATTTCTCTTTATCAGTTTAAATGTTGGATAGAATACTGATGTGAAATTATGTGTTCACTAAAAATGAAGTGTACCACCAACGTGATCATAGAAGGTATTACGTTTTAGTGTGCAGTAAACAACACAGAATATTATAGAAATAGCATTTTTCAACATGAGAAGTTATTTATCATGACAAATGCATATGAAATGTCGTTCAAAACAATGTAAAACAGGTTTAATTGTACGGAATGACAGGAAACGTACATCTTTCGCCAATTCTACTGATGCATTATGCTGAACAGGAAATAAAATATACACAAAGGAAACATTAAACTACTAGTATATGAATGTTCGACTAAATTCGAACTAATAGATCCACAGTAGTTGGGCTCTGAGTTAATATAAGGCATAATCGAAGAAATGATATTTTTCTTGAAAATCCCAACGAATGAACTTCAAATAAATAAAACTTTTCATTCATTAGTCTGATATAACGTTCTTCAATGGAAATAATCAAGTGTCATAACAATCGGATATAATAAATACAAGGTTTACACATTGTGTCTTTTTAACATCTGAATATGTCTGGATGGTTTGTCTATTATATGGATAATAGATACATTTGTTCCTTATTCATTCCCATTGAAAAAGCCTAAATCGGTCTACCGAGTGAAATGGTTAGTTCATTGTAAGTTGAATCATTGATAATTTCACAAATAAAATTTCCTCCATAATAAGTTACTTGTTTTCCGCACTAATTCTGAATAAAATTTCCTCCAAATAACCATTTTATATTCAGTATCAATTCAAGTTACCGGAATCTCGTGAAACAACATTTCGATTGATTGACATCTATCCTTTCAAAAAGTTGCTTAATAATAAAAGGGTTAAAATACATTCTCAAATGTACTAAGAAGGAAATGAGTAAACTGAATGTTTTTCAATGGTAGCACAATATTTGGGTTCCAGTATTTGTTCAGTTATAAATTCGAGTGTTTTTTTTGGACAAAAGCATCACATGATTTAAATTAA